ATAAGCATAGACATAATGAGATGATGCAAAGGTCGCAGGTGACTCTGGTAGAGTGCCTTTCAGCTCTCCGTCACCTTCCCATACTGAATGAGAAGCTTACCTTTGTGAGGCATGATTGTCACTGCGGGGTGCCAAGTCTACTACACACAGTATACTGGGAGTGCTGCTGCTGTGTCTTTATGTCTTTATGACTGACTCACATTATAGTTAGCAGTTAGCTTGTGTAAATGCTCTGTGTGGTTTTTTTTTTGGGGGGGGGGACGTACATTCTTTGAATGGTTGGGTATAAATTTCCTTTCCTTTTTCATCTATTAACAACAGCTATTTATCAGTTTTGGTAAATAAATGTTGAACTCATAATGGTAGAATTGTCAACTTTTCCTTGCAATTTTTCCATGTTTATTTTAGATTTTTGAAATTGTGTTGTCATATTCATGCAAGCTCAAAGTAGTTATGTCTTTCTAGTAAAACATACTAACGTTAGGCCCTTTTATGACTAAATACACAAATAGGCGTGTCTGGCTTATTAAGTTCACCGGGCTAGTCACATTTTTGAGGTACATCTTTTTGACTCCAATATTTCTTTGACATTGTTTTTTGAGTGTGTTTCTTGTAAATATTTGTTAAATACCATCTGCAAATCTTTTTCCTCTGAGTAGGTCATTAGAGAATTACAAATATTTTACATGTGCTCACTGGTTTTATTACTTTTTCTTACTTTTTATTGGCTCGATCAAATCTGTGTGTCTTTTTCCCCTGTGGACATTTTCTTAGTATATGGAATCTATGCCTTGTTTTTCTATGTACTCAAAAAGAAAAAAGAAAGAAAGAAAACCACTTTGCCTCTAGTTATTTAAAACATCCTCAGTTAATAAATAGTTCTTCCTACATCTCCCAAAGTGTAAAGACGATGCAGTGACTCAACTTTTGCCCACATTCAGTCCTTTTCATTTGCCGACCTGCTGCTGAATCCCTGAAACTCACTCTATTAGTGCTGATGCTGTCTGCAGATAGATCCGAGGGACTGGCTCATTTTCATTACCTCCCTTACCACTGCATCTGGAGTCGCATCCCTTTCTCTGATTTCTGCCACTCAGGGAAGCATGTCCTTTGTTCTTTTGCATGAGGCTTGAGAGTGCTTCTTGTCCGTCAGAAAATATCATTATCTTACTACCCTTCTCTATAATTAAGTGGGTATGAAAGGTAAGCTCATGATGTGATGGATTTATTCTATCTTGTATCATCTCATTTTTGCTGAAGAAAAAGCCTGTCTTCACCTTAATTGTTCTCCTTTTCCAAGCAAGTGTCATGTCTTCAGGGCTCAGGTTTGAGTAGCGTTACTGCTTTCTGTGTGGTGACAGATTGTTTTTATGTACTTGGTTTCAAACTCATTTCACATTTCTTAAGATGATGTTTTTGTACCTTTTACTAATTCTGGAAAATCTTAAATATTCTTCTCTTTCCGTATTGCACATGTCCATTTCCAGTACTTCACCATTTCTCGGCTTCTCAGGATCCTCATGTCTTTGTGTATATTTGCCTATTTTGCACCTACAGTGACTTATTATATCAGTCCACTGACAGTTCAGTGTGCCCTGGTGTCATTCAAAGCACTGTCTCTCGAGCCCACAACTCCTGTGTACTGTCTTTTCTCCCTGAGCAGCATCATAGCCAAGCCTCCTTCTGTAGTACTGGGGACCAAACCTAAGACTTCCAGCTTGCAGAGCCAGCATCTGCCACTGAGCCGCATCCTGAGACCCCTTTCCTTTTCATAGTTTAGATCTTGCCATGCTTTTGTTTTTACTGTAACTTTCTTTATTCTTGGGACATTTATATGTGTATAAAATGAAATATGACCATATAAACCCCTTACCAAGGAGTTATTGGCAGTTGGTGACTGTCGAAGAGTGAGAGGGTCATCGTTTTTTGAGGGCGTGGCCACTGATAAATTTCCCATGATCCCGTGATGGATGGCTCTATACCCATGCACATATGGACAGAACTAACTGAATGAAGTGGGTTTGTTTTTGCTTTTTGTGATAGTCTTGCTGTTGCCCAGATGGACCTTAAACGTTCAGTCCCCTTTCTTTAGCTTCCCTAAACTGCCAAGCCTGGCTAGCCAAGCTCCTTCATGGATTTTCCTACATTTTTCTCTAGTTCATTATTCCCCACTTAACTCTTCAGTTCAGGTTGAACCCTTAAGTCTGTGTTCAATCTCCAAAGAAACTGTTTCTGACAAGGTTTCCAATGACTTCCCTGTACCCAAATCAACATCTAAGTACATCCCTACTAGGATGTCTTATCAGCATCCAACATGGTGGCCTACCCCTTCCCTAAAGCAGTCTTCACCTCCTGGCTTCAGAAATGCTTTGCTCACTTGGTCTTCTTCAAGTAGTGGAGAATAGAGGACCAGGCACAACCTCTCCCCATTTGCTTTCTCCTCCCTACCCTTAATACTTTTTAATTTGTTTGTCCAGTTAAAGCACCATCTACTTTTTTTCAGAGATGTCCACATCCATCTCTGTCACCCCCACTCCTCCTGCAAGCCACTAAATTCTTGTGACTTCCTGCTTTAACTAACACTTTGGCATGGCAGCGTTGTCTACAGCCTACCCAAAGCCAGCCCTAAACTTCTCCCCACTAAAGGATCTTCCCCACCTCATCAGATGGTATTATCTTCCACCTGGTTCCTAAGGGGGGAACAAGGGATCATTCAAAACTCTTCCCCACCCCCTCTCTTCATCAGAGACCCACGTACATTCTGCTGTGAGGTTGCACAAATTTGATGTTCAAAATATACAAGCCCTTACCATCTTTCCTTCCAGCCTTCTGCTTTAGCCTTTATGGTTCCTCAACAAGACTACTCTGCCCCTTCCAAACCTGTCCCAGCATTGACACCTTCTCACCCACGCTCAACACAGGTTCAGAATGATCTTATGAAAGAATCGCTTTTCCATTTCAAGCAGGAATGCCTTGTTGAGCCTGCTCCAAATCTGCATCACGAAGAAAGTCTGAGACCTGTCCCCCTACTGTCCCTCACTGCCACCCCAGTGGCTTTCCCTTTTCTACCCTCCCTTCATCTCCCATTCCTCTCCTCTTTCTCTCTGTTCTAGCCACATTAGCCTTGAATTTCCAAGCACACCGAGTTCTTTAGTTCCTACAAAGTCTCCAGAAGTCCTTCTGCCCAGAATGTCCCCTGCCCTTTCTGTACGGAACCAGCTATTCTCCTCTTCTGAGTTACCAGGACCATCTAGGAAAATGCCCCATTATTCTCACTCTAGTAGCAGCCCCACCTTTCTTCTGTAGCCCTTTCCCTATGACTCTAACTTATATATTATTTTACCTTACGGTACAGTTTCAACAGTATATAAATAATCAGCTTTACTGCCAAAATTAACTGGCACCTTTAGCCCTTTTCTGGTAAAATATTAATGGTTGATGAATTCATAACGTGTTCAACTCTTGGTGGCTCGTTTTCCCCAAGAATTCTTTTAGTACGGAGTTCTGTTTCAGTGGGCCTAGAAATGAATGGTGGCATTTGGAAAATGCAAGCGCCTCACGGATTCTCTGCATGCCTACAATGAGTGCTTTGTCATGGGTTAGGATCATACCCAAATGGACCACTCTCCATTCAAGTAAAAATAATTTTTAAGACTGGTGTCACCATTTTTCCAAACAGAAACAATGTCCTAGGCAACTTAATGAGCTAGAATACCCAAAAGGCAGATAGAACTTAGTTTCACTGCACAGAGCCGTGGTCATAAGGCGCTCCTGCAGATTCTGACCCATGCTTTTCTTTCGCTGTTGTCGTTCATGCTTGAGTTCCCCTGGGAGGCTGGTGTGGCTCGCCACTCTGCCAGCACAGTTGCCAGAATGTGTAGATGAGCAAAGGAATCTGATGGGCTGCCCCTTCCTCGGAGTATCAGGTCAGCTGTTTCCCTTCAGGGAGCGCTCACCTTCCCAAACTGTGACAATATTTGTTATTTTGGCTTGTTTGTTTGTCTGATTGCTAAGAATAGTATTCTTAAAAAGTAGTAATACATTGGTCCCTTCCTTGTTAAAAATATTGTCTGGCTTATCTTAGCTTTCAAGAAGTTTTGCTATGACTGTAAAAATACAGAACCTTTTTACATAGATTCATGTTCTCCTCGATACACTGTCTGTATGGTTTTCAGCTCGTCTTGGCCAGGTTCGATAGCAAGAACTCTCCTACTTCTGCCTTTTGAACTTCCTCAGTGCTGGAGAACAGTTTTGTTTTGCGTTGTGTGATGCTGTGCTGTGCTCTGTTGATTCACGGATTAATACGTGATACGGCACCTGAATAACCTAAGCTAAAACCATCCTTACTTTGTAACAACTGGAATATTTAAGAGCTGGTTGAGATACTGAACAGTAAGACCAGCACTTTGGCCAGCCGGAAAGCCTTCCAACTTACTCATCTGAAAGCCATTGCAGGGCTGGTTGAATATAGTCCCCGACCCTCGGAAAAGCCACTCCGTGGGCCCGTAAGCCTGCACTTTTCGCCAACTCCTTTACTTTTTTAAATGCCTTTTTCTGGAAGTGGCTCAAAGCCTTGAAACCTTTTAATTATCACATAATCATGGCTTATTTATATCTGACTGGAAATTCTACACCTGAATGGGGCAACTTCAGTCAAGAGGACACAGTAATTGAGATCTTCTGCCCAAAACAACTTGCTGAGCTAAATGCGGGATGGAGCGACCTACCCACCCGCTTAGGCTATCTTGGGTTTGCACCCCTAGAGCCTTGTTGGGGTGTGATAGTCTCATTCCATCTCTGTATATTTCTGTGGTCTCACTCTTTCGCCCACATTCTGCCTGTGTCGGGTTATGCTGGATCCATGAAGAATTTCAAAGATCAAAGTCTGTCTGTTTCTTTCAGAACAGTATGCAACCCTGCCTTACTGCTGCCGAGGCTCTGTGTCAGGTTCGGTGCCTCCAGGCGACTGAATGTTCTGTGCTCTTCTGTCTGCCCCGCAGGTGCACACGTTCCGAGGCCCACACTGGTGTGAATACTGTGCCAATTTCATGTGGGGGCTCATCGCCCAAGGAGTTCGCTGTTCAGGTAGACACAAAACTCTGTCCTCTTCTCTTTACATAAAGTGCCACCTTGTTGAGTGGGAAGCAACCTTCAGAGCTAGGGACTGTGCTTGGATGAGCTCAGAAATCCAGCTGGTATAAACTTAAGTTCATACAATGAGAAGTTACCAAACAAGTACACTTCCTTAAAATGTACCTGCCTCCCCAAACGGGCCATAGCCCTTAAGAGAAAATGATTTAAATACATTCTAATGAAACTGTATAGATTTTGAAAAAGCCATTTTATTATATATCTTTCCTATATATTATATACCTTTCCTATCCCATTTTAGTTTAGCAGACAAGACATAAAAAAGAACAGAGGTGAGTACCGTGAGTATTTGCCACAAACACTAGCCCCAACATCAACCATGCCCTGCACCCTCACCAGCAGAGCCAAAGGAAGATGTGGTTATCTCCTACTAAATGAAAAAGAGATGGAGTCTTAAAGGCGACGGCTAGCTGCCAGATGCTGGGTGGTGAAACATCAGTTTAAAAGCAGCGACGGTCCAGAGCTCACATCCGGTTCTTTGCCATCACGTTGATAGTGAAATCATGTCCATTAAATAATTTAAGGTTTAAATTTAAAAATAATTTAAATGTTTTACTTCATCCTTTGAGAATTTCATACAGTGTGTTTTGATCAAATCCATTTTGCTTTCACACACTGCAAAGTAGTTTGAACCCCGGGGTGTTTCCCATCTAGAACTGTGTGCGAACCCCAGCTGCAAATGTCATGGGACGCATCTTCCTTCAGAGACACTGAACAAAATGCGGAGGGCTGCCAAACCAGCATGTTAGCTGGGCTTCCCCGCTCACCCTGCCATGCTTTTCCTGGCACACACTGGCGCTGAGAGCAAGAGCAGCTGCCTCTGGTGTTGACTGGAATACCACAGATTCTGTGGCTGCTTGCCTCCTTCCTAGGACATGATGAATAGAATCGGCTGATGACTCCCGCTGAGGGGTGCCTCTTTCAGTGGTCCCCATTTAGCTCAAGGGATCATGTATTCTCCACCTTCCTTTCTGCCTATAAGATGCTTTCTTAACGTCCCTTCTATAGGCACAGCCACCCCATGTCAGTGCCTAACTGCTGTGTGAGGAATTCTAGCTTCCCATCCTGAGTCCTGAGGCAGATGGCAAACCCACATCAGAAACCACCTCTCCAGGATGTCCCGCTGAACACAGAACAGACAGGCAAGGCTTCACAGGCTTCCCACAGCTCCAGGCCTGAGTGTGGGGATCCAGCACTTGCATTACTCTGTGCTTGTTAGTTAGGGCTGTCAGATTAGACGTACCAAAATATCCCTTGTCACAGATAGTATCCAGTTTCTGCAGGAAATTGGTCCAAAGTCAATATTATGGAAAGAGGATTCTGGACTCCAGTTAGCTGTAATCAGCGACTTTCTGTAGGGTGGAAGAGTTCTGAGATTTTTTGTTTGTTTCCGTTTCTATTTTGTTTGAAAGGAAACATAATGTAAGGTTATAGTGTTAAGTTGTCTCCAGTGGTTACCTTTTGATCTAATATTTCCCCGAAGAGCATGAGACTAGACACTGGCCATCCATAGTCAAAGGAGTCGACACAGGCCTCAGTTCTCCACAATGTAGATTTTTTTTAACGGTCCAGATTTTAAATTTGCTTTAAGCATTCTAATTTTCATAGGATCTGTGTTCTATATAAATAAATAAACTAAATGTCTTAAAGTTTATAAGAAAACTAAGCACAGAATTGCCATGTAATCCTAACATTTAAAGGCAGTGTCTGCACCAGACACTTGTAGGCCCATGCTTAGAGAAACATTATTCATGGTGGATGAAAGATAGATAGAATCCAACCCCACTGACGGACAAACAGATAACATGGCATAGGCACACAATGGAGTATGCATCGGTCTTAGAAAAGACAGGAAAGCCAAGCAAAGTGCAAAGGAATGCAGCTGTTAGAATCTAGGTAAGACTCGACTGGCTGGCACTGCCAGTGAGTGAGTTTAGGGTGCGTGTGTGTGTGTGGGGTTACTGTTTGGTGGGCATCAAGTTCGAGTGCTGTCGGAACGCACAGGCTTTCACAGCAGGTGGCGGCAGTAGCTGTGTGACCATGGTTTTAATGCCACTTAACTTTGTACTTTAAAATGCAGAAGCAGCTGAATATCTGTGAGGTAGAGGCCAACCTGGCCTATGTTGCAAGGTCCAGGCCAGTCAGGGATACACAATGAGACTTTTTCTGCAATAAATGAGCAAACAAATAGTTAAGTTAAATAATTATTAAATTATTTAAAAATAAATTTTAAGAAATTGAATATAAATAAATTATAATTCAGTGATTAACACTGTAAATATACCTTATGTCTACTCTGCTACAATTTAACGAAAATAAAATTTTAATTGAAGTCTGTAAGATGCAATAAAATTCCCTAACGGAAGAACAGCCAGGCAGGCCCCATGTCTCCTCTCCATGTACCTACATGCTTTATTCTCATAGTCGGAGGCACTATGCCCCTGTTTGACCTTCATGATCCCCCGGTGCTGGCGTAATCCCCACCTTATAAACCAGGATCCCAGGAAGAAAACCGGTTCTAGCTAGCTCAGACCAAATTTAAATTTACACCCGCTCAGTATCTCCATCAAAATGAAACTGACTTGTAGGTGAATTTAATTGAATTTCACATTCTGATTAAGCTAAGATGGTTAGAACTTTTCCTTTGAAAGTGAGGGCAGAGAACTGAGCCCAGAACTGTTACCTGGGAATCAACGTTGGTGACTGCGCAGGCGTCAGCACGCATCAGACCTCCGCTGTGGTTAACACTATTTTTATAAGCAACTGACCGCAATATTCATTATTGTGCATGTACAATAATGTATATGTATAGAAATACCATTTTTATACCTAGGAGAAACAACGAGAAGACATTTTAGGTACTGAGCACATTCACATTGAGCAACTTGGTCATTAAACTTTCATTTTTCCAGAAGGCAAACTGTGTCACGTCATTGTGGAGAAAGTTCGTTGGTGGATACCAGCTGCTAACAAGGCTTTTAATTTGTGCATTGAACTTAAAAGCACCTTTGCGGCTTTGGCTCTGGATATAAGCTTTATAAATAATTACTGTAATCATCATATTACAAGGCCTTGTCGTCAAATATCAGCTCTCAGACACTGTACTGGACGGGGTACAGGGCAACGTCCCCTCCACTCTGTCACAGAACAGCAAGCAGAAAAGGAATGGCCCACTCCATCTGCCAGCAGGAAAGACTAAAAACTCCAGACTGGACTTCCGGAAGGGCAGGGTGCAAACCAAAGAGCAGACAGTTCTGCAGACAGAGTTATTATGTATCCTACAAAAGAGCATCCGGGATTTAAAGGCATGGTCTAGAATGAGTCTCCATGCCCTTAATGAGCCAAGACTAACTTTGAGAATCTATGCCCCAGAGCTCACTACGGACTCCCCAGGAGCCCCAGTCTGAAGAGAAAAGGTCTATTAGCACCCTGGTCATCTCAGCAAGGTGTTCTGCTCTTTGGGTCTATGAAACAGAGGCAGTCATAAGGACAGGACAGTTGAGTCATATCAAGCTTCATAGTCTGGATGAATCTTGTGCTCATCTAGTGGGAAGTTCCATCTTCTGATGGGATGGATATTCCAGGAAAGATCTTCAAACCCTTGGGTACTGTAATATGTATTTTGGCAGCATAGAATTTGTCCTGGGATTTGACAAAAGACCCAACAAGGCTAATGTGGCTTCTTTGTTGACAGATTGTGGGTTAAATGTCCACAAACAGTGTTCCAAGCATGTCCCCAACGACTGCCAGCCTGATCTCAAGAGGATCAAGAAAGTCTACTGTTGTGACCTCACCACACTCGTAAAAGCTCACAATACTCAGAGACCCATGGTAGTCGACATCTGTATTCGGGAAATTGAAGCGAGAGGTTTGTAAAATACTATCATTATATTATTATATTAATTATATTATACTTACTGTATTACATTGGTTGTCATTTTCATTGAGGAAACCGACTCACTTTACTGCCCCTGTTATGACAGTGACTTTTACACACACAAAAACACACAGCTAAATATACTGTAGCCAACCAATATCGTTAGTTCCCATTCCTATAGAAGTCATGCATGCCCACATTCTGCAAATGTTTACTGAGCATTTAAATACATTCTAGATATTGATGATATGAAAGTCTCCATTCTCAACCTCAAGGTGGTAGATTGGAGCATCAGAGGGACAGATAAACACAACACTGTATCCAAAGCAGCACAGGTCACAGAGACGGATGTCTTCACCCTGAGTTCTTTCAACAAGGAATTTGCTCCCTTTCTGGAAATGCTTCCTCTTCTGTAAAGTGAGTGAAATCAGTTGTACCCCAGAAGGTGGTGCTGAGGATCAAAACAAGTCGACCTATACGAGGGACCTGTGCAGTGCCCAGCATCCAGGGCACAGGGTGTGCTGGTTCCTTCCACTCTTCCTGCATTGCTGTAACAATACCAGACAACAGCAACTGAAGAAAGGAAGCATTTATTGGGCTCACACTTTGAGAGTACAGTTCATCACAGGAAGGCATGACAGGAGAAATGTGGGGTGACTGGTCACATTGTATCTACAGTAAACAAAACTAAGCAAAAGAGATGAGTGGCCACTACAGTGGATGTTGTTTCGAAACAAAGTGTTCCTTTAGAGTAGGGAGACAAGAAAACAAATCCTGGAAGGCTGGCTGGCAGCCTCTGCTGCTCTTCCAACCGCAGCCCATCTCTCAGGACAGCCTCCAGTCATCAGCTTCTGAGGGGGGCTCCCTAGATGTCCTCTCCCCTCTCTAAGGACTGTACGTCCACCACCGTGTCCTGTAAACAACCTCTTTAGCAATGCATGTACCCAACCGGAACAGAGTGGCCCCCAAGTTTTGTCTTGCAGGTCACTTGCAGTGCAATTTCATCAGTGGGTGCTGAACACAGAGATTAACTCAGCATGTCTGCCATGAGCTGGTAGAGCTAAAATTAAGCAAGCATGCCTGCCATAAGAGAGCAGAGCTAGGATTAAACATGGCTGCCATGAGAGAGGAGAGTCTCATGAGATTACACATGCCTGTCGTGGTCCCCGGGAAAAAAGCAGAGTCACCCATCCCTTGTATTCAATACAGACTCTCCCACATGGCAGATATTACAATATTACATATGCCATGAAAGTAAAAATTGAAACCCAGGAATGCATGTTAGTTATCAAGAGTTAGACAGACTATATAGTTCACTCCTTTTTGCTGCAGCTCAGTTTTGACACCAGTTCAGTTTTATAGATAGAATCTGATCCTCTAACCCTCCTGCTACTTGAGTCTTATATATCACCCACTGGGTAGGAGAGCCAGCTAAGTTTTAGCATGTGTTTAACACATCGGTATACTCAAGAAGGCAAAATACATTCTGATTGAGTTTTCAAACTATTAAATGAGCCAGCTAAGTTTTAGCATGTGTTTAACACATCGGTATACTCAAGAAGGCAAAATACATTCTGATTGAGTTTTCAAACTATTATATTTTAAACTATTAAACTATTAAATCTATTTATACGATTAGTTATCTGAAGACAGAATAGAATTGCTTGATTTCAAGCATGCTTGGTAGGTTAGCATACTGTCTCTCTTATGATTAAACACAAGAGGCTATAAAATTTAGCTTTCTCCAAGGGTAGCTAGGTAAAGTACACCACATGGCTGAATGAGATGCCAGGGAGAAAGCCGAGCTCTGCCTGCATTGGTGAAATAGGTGTGAGGAAGTCTGATGACCAAAGGTAGTTAGGGAGAATCTTAGATCTCAGCTCACTGTGCACCCAGGCAGGAGGAAGACCCAGTCTCCACTGAGCAGCCCATCTCCAACAAGCAGATGAAGACAGACTCAAGTGAAGCTTGGTAGGAAAAGTCCAGGTTCTTAGGCAACAAAGCAGGATGCGTCGATCAGATCACTAACCAAATCTGCTCGGTTCCTGCCAGCACTCAGTGCAGGTAGAAAATTAGAGTGGCTTTTTAGATACCATGGGACACCAAAATTAAGGTCCTCTCCATCTCTATTGCTCTCCCCTGCCCTGCAGGATTGAAGTCAGAAGGGATTTACAGAGTCTCTGGGTTCACAGAACACATCGAAGATGTCAAGATGGCGTTTGACAGAGGTGAGTGTGAGCTGTCTTTAATGCTGCCTGATTTATCCTGGTACCATCAATGCAGGAACGAGAGATCACTTCCAGAGGAAGTGGGGTCTGGAAACTACTGAGAGTCATTCTTCAGAAGTAGGAAGAACCATGCTTTAACATTCTCTGGGAGAAGTATTTTGGTAGACAGGTAACTCCAGAAGGAAGGTGTGAGAAAGATTTGAGTGGGAAGCCTGTCCTCATACCATCACAGAATTCTGGCTGCATCCTCATTTCAGGGTCTTATGGATAGCTTTTCTCTCAGGATTCCAGAGAAGGGAGCTGGGGATGAAAGCATAGGTTCAGGAGATAAGTTCTTTGTTCTTAAGGGACACACACTGTCCAGGAGCCTTGGCTCTAACCATCATATTGTTCAATAGTCTGTCATATCTGCTATACATTTAATGTCTTGGTTTGTGCTTTTAGTGATTTATGACTTCTTTGAAAATTTAGAACCATTTGCTAAGGCATTTATGCTTTTAATTCTCCACATACAGCAGGTTACTACCCTCCATACAATTGAACAATATTTTTCCAAAAAGAAATCTCATGACCTACGTTAGGTGAAATAGATTGATACTAATAGTAAAATTTTAGAGTTCAAAAAAAAATGACTTAAGGACCAGCAAGATGGCTCAGTGAGTACTTGCCACCAAGCCTTACAACCAATGTTCAGTACTCTACACCCACAAGATGGAGGCGATAACCGACTCCTTCAGGTTGTTCTGTGACTGCTATGTGTGTGCCATGGCACAGATAGGCCCCCTAAAAATAAATGTAATTTTTTAAAAAATATATAATGCTTCAGAGTGCCGGGAAGATGGCTTAGTAGGCAAGAGCACTTGGTGAGCGAGCATGAAGATCTGAGTTCAAATCTCCAGAACCCATATAAAGATGTAGGTATGGTCTCACGGGTGCTTGTAACCTCAGCACTGTGGGCTTGGAGATAGGAGGATAGCTGGGTCTTGGTGGCTACCACTGCCATACCCGGTTCCATGTGTGCACACAAGAGACATGTACATACACTTTACACACATACCACATATATAAACACACACATAGGCACACACAAATGCCTTGAGAATGATCATAACAATTAATAAGAAATGTCATTGTACCTGTGCTATGAGTAGGAAGGGTCAGATTTAAAGGAGCTTTGGAGAGCCTGAAACCAAAGCTATCCAGTGATCACTTGTATGTATCATCTTCTAGTCCAAGGCCAAAAACCACTGGCAAAGACAACATAAAAATTAGAAAAAGATTATTGGGCCACAGAATGATGGGTTTCATTCTGGCATTCCATGCATGTGTACCGTCATATGTCACTTCATACTAGAGTGTTGCTCTGTCATGAAGTGGTCTGCCCACAATAGGGAGTTACTGTGATCAATGTCTGTTGGCTCATTAGCAGGGGCTGGAACCCAGAGAAGCTCCTGATCCACCCTACTGTACTCTTGTCTGTCCTCCCTCTTCACCACCATGCCACCCTCGCTGGGGTCCTTTCTGTCACCCCAGGCTCCTGACATTAGGAGCTGAGAGTCTGGGACTTACCAGGACACATTCGATGCTGGCTCTTGGACTTACCAGGACACGTTCAGTGCTGGCTCTCCTTCCCCTGTACCTGCTTTGACTTGGTGAATTAAGATTTCATTGAGACTTGAACCATTCCCTGTTTTGCAGATGGTGAGAAGGCTGATATCTCGGCTAACATCTACCCAGACATAAACATCATCACCGGAGCCCTGAAACTGTACTTCAGAGACTTACCGATCCCCGTCATTACATATGACACCTATTCCAAATTTATAGAGGCAGCGAGTAAGTATAGAGAACTACAAGCCTCTTGCTCTCAGGAAACTTAAAGCTCAGAGCTTTTCCAAGGCTTTCGTGAGCACTGGCCCTGTCAGGTGAGGGCCCAGAAGTTCAGCAAATAGAAACCCAGGTAGCGCTCACCACACATCCCACGTCCATACCCGTCTGGCTCTATAGGCAGAAGCTGAGAGCCAGGCAGCTCTGTCTTTCATCATTGCTCCCTATGTCCTGGACACAAACACAGGGAGACCGATTCTAGCATTTTCTGAGAGTAAATTTCTGTAATTAAAAAAAAAAAAAATCAGTGTTCTCCAAGGAGGGACATGTAAACTATTTCTGTCCATTGTGCAGAGTCACTTTGTGTATCAGCTAAAACCACATTCAGGCTCTGCCTGTTCACGCTGGTCAAGATTAATACAAGCAGCCGGGTTAGAGCTGCATGATCATGGTACTGAAGGAGCAGAGTCAGAAGGATCTGGAGATCAAAGCTGGCCTGGGTTATGTAGAGGGGACCATCAGCCAACAATTCCTCATTCAGTGTTGGCCTGTCGGGCCCACTGCTCTTGGGAGAGGATGAGTGAAGGTTATGTCAAGAGAAGGGGCCACACTTTGCCTAGTAACGGGAGTAACAACGCGGGAGGAATTTAGATGCTGAGATGCATGGGCGAGAAGCTGAGCCTCCTCTAAGGAACTTTCTTTGACTTTGTGGGATATTAAATATCTTCAAAGGTTTTAGTATATATGTTAATGCCTGACAGCAGGAAGCAAGGGTATGTTGAGATCTGTCTTAGTTAGGGTTTCTATTGCTGTGAAGACACCATGATCGTGACAACTCATATAAAGGAAAAACATTTAATTGTGGTGAGTTGCTTACAGTTCAGAGGTTCAGTCCATTATCATCATGGTGGGAGCATGGTGGCATGCAGACAGACAGTACCTGAGAGTCCTACTTCTTGCAAGCAACAGGAAGTTGATTGACAAACTTGATGGTATTCTGAGTATAGGAGACCTCAAAGCCGGCCCTCACAGTGACACACTTCCTCCGACAGGGCCACACCCACTCCAACAAAACCACACCTCCTAATAGTGCCACTCCCTGAGATTATGGGGGCTAGATATATCCTGTGGAGGTCAGTTACATTCAAACTACCACAAGATCCATGCACAGTGTACTTTCCAGTTGAGCTGTGGTTCTGCCCCTAGCAAGACCATTTCTTCCTGGGTTCTGGTGGTCTGAGATAGAGAAGGTTCTAGCGGCAGAATGTTTCTGTCCCAGGATAACAGAAAGGCTTTCCTTGAGTGCCTGCCAATACCTATCAGTGGCCCCAAGTTCATACACTCTTCCTTCCATTGTTAATGTGCCTAGTATCTGCTTCCTAGCCTGGGCTGCACATGAGATTAACCCTTGCCATGCCTTTGTGAACATGCCTTTATTATTGATCAACATGCATTGTTGATTGGCTCATCTGCCAATGTCCTTGAGTTGAAAAATGTATTTGATATGGAAGCATGGGAAGGAAAGAGCCATTGGACAACTTCAAGGGCACACTATCACACAATACAGAGGAAAATAGAGCTTTGGTAGATTTAACAAATTCAGGCCTCAGAAGGGCATCAGAAACTGTGTATATGCCACCAGAATTAGGAATCCTATAGTACTCTTGCTCCCTGGATGGTGAGCATAAAAGCCACTTACTTCACAGATGTTTGTTTAAATATACAGTGCTCAGCCTCAGTTCTTTCTGGAATGAGACGGGACACAAAGAAGCTGAGTGAAAAAGTATATGAGATTGTATGAATTTGTCAGATGCTCTGTTTGCAACAAAGACAAAGCAGACTTCTCATCGCCCTTCTGGACTGTTGGTATCTAGCGCTGTTGATTTTGTGTTCTTTATAGAAATCTCCAATGCGGATGAGAGGCTGGAAGCCGTCCATGAGGTCCTGATGCTGCTGCCTCCTGCCCACTATGAGACCCTGCGATACCTGATGATCCACCTCAAAAAGTAGGCCAACATCTCCATGCCTGACCTCCCCGATCTTCCCAGGGTGGGGAGGCATTAGGGCACTCCACTGAAAGTAGACAGAGCCGCTCTTGGTGTGGTACAGACTCTAGAAACGGGGACTGGAGAAGCCCAAGGAATGCAGCTCTGTTCCCTCTAAAGGTGCCTCTGTCTCCTCCAGAGAGGAAGGCTAACACCTTTTCCCACTGCCCAGTCCAGCATGAGACACAGCCTTGGCACCCTCTGGACCAGCACTTCTGTGTGCTGACCCTGGGGACACACTCCCAGGAGACTGTAGCTCAATGATGCTGATTGTTTAGTCACAGCTGATTTTTCAGCACCGCTGTCCCCTCCGGAAAAAGCAAAGGTTTCACTTTGTAGTGCTGGTCTCTTCTTAATCACAGCGGATTCTTCAGTCCCAGGAGACCAGAACCCCAATTCCAGCTACTCTATGGACAGCCCCGAGGTAGTCTTTGCTTCCTTCTGAAACTTCCTGAGCCAGGCCTCCATGTCTGCGCTGTTCTCAACGTTCTTATCGCCCAAGATCACACAGAGCACCCATTAGACTCTGAGCACTGATGGCTTTCCCAGCCCAAAATCCCAAACGCTCCACAGACCTCAGAAAAACAGCATGGTCAGGTCTATTACGACAGCCATCTGCTCTCAGGCACTCACTTCTGTCCTTGTTAGGTTTCTGCTGCTGTGATAAAGACTGTGACCAAAAGCAAGGAGGGGAGAAAAGGGTTTATGTGGCTAGCATTTCCATGCCATCGTCCATCACTGAGGGAAGGCAGGGCAGGAACCTGGAGGTAGGAGCTGAAGCAGAGGCCATGGAGGAACTCCACTCACTGGTTTGTTCTACACGGCGCCCCTCGCCCTCGTGCTGTGTGCCACTGTGTACTGACGCAGTGGAGGACCCCCTGCCCAGAGATGGTACCACCCACAGCGGGATGGGCCCTCCCATGTCAATCATCAATCAAGAAAACGCCCCATAGGCCAATCTGATGGAGATCTTTTCTCAATTGGGGTCCCTCTTCCCAGAGTGAAGAACGGCCTCTCTGCTGCTTGTTTTTTGAGCTCTGCAACATGAAAACGATGCAAACTGAGTTGACCAACAATAACATTAAGCGGTTAATTTGAATCTGCTACGAAGAAACAGAGGAGCAAGGGATTGTTTCTCTGCAAAAATAAATCCATTTTTAACACAGTATATTCTGTTTTGTAGAACCTACTCCTTTTTATCTATGATGAACACTCTTAAAAGAGTAAATTCCTGAAGGCAAGACCCTAGAAAACCACCATTCATTCCACAAAGTAACCAGTAAAGCAACTTTAGGACTTAGATTTCTTCTTTAAAACCTCTTTGGTTCTTTTCTGGATGCTGGTCCAACAATAATGACTGCTCTGTACCTTATCCTTTGGGAACTAGGCATAATAAACAATTGCCCTCCAGTCTGGCCACATTCCAGCCATTCTCCTGCCCTGTGACAATAGCCAGGGTCTTCCTAAACACATTGCAGCCTGTTCTACAAACAGTCTTTCTCCTGTGGTACCAATCCACACTCAGCCCCCTCTCCAGCATGCAGACCAGTACGAAGCGGTGACAAAAACCAGACTTCCCCATGGGTCAGCTCGTGACCTTCTGCCCCTGCAAACTGATGTTGCCTAAATAACTCTTGCACACTCTTCTTCAAGAAGGATAGGTTCCCAATCCTTATACTGTGTTCTCGGTAGATCCTAGTAAGTCATTTAGTTCTACTGGCTGAAGGCCGGATCAATAACTTAAAAAGGAAAACAAATCAGAAAATTATCTTTAAAAGATGTCTTCTTGCCATGCTTGGTCTCCACTTTTTTTTTGCAGCCTCCTGAGACCCAGAGATGGTCTCAGACCCCAAATGCATAGCTAGTACATCAGTCCTTCTGCCAATCTGCCTGAAGTTTCTGTGCTTGCCTTGCAGGGTTACCATGAATGAAAAGGACAATTTAATGAACGCAGAAAATCTGGGAATTGTCTTCGGACCCACGCTGATGAGAACCCCCGAGGACAGTACTCTCACGACCCTCCATGACATGCGGTACCAAAAGCAGATCGTGCAGATTTTAATAGAAAACGAAGATGTTCTGTTCTAATCTATCAGGGAAATGAGCTGGTAGCGCCAACGGAATAAAAACATTTCTTACACTTGATTTGTTTTTCAAACAAGTGGTAGGAGTTCCCAGACCACAGTGGACTGCAGTGTTGGGGACTGTGTCTCCCTCCTCCACGTGAGAGCAAGGGTGAGGGTAGGAAACCCCTTACCTTGGGTCTTTTGCCGTGCCTCGTATGTATGTCTGTTTTGCTGGAAGAGTGATTAATAAATCTTTCTTTAACTTATTAAAAAAAAAAAAGTAGACCTTTAAACGTCAGTCTTACCATTAATAAAAGGGAACTTGATTCATGAAGGTACTTGGTACAGTATACATTTTCCACCTTCAAAAGAAGAAGACAATTCTATATGTTAAGTGTTAAATGAAACCTATATTGTAAAATGTATTTTATTTTAGCTGCAAGAATGTTATTTTATTTTAGCAAATAGAACTCAATGCAGTGCATTGGTTATGGCCCCGTCCCTTGTCCCCCCCTTTTCTTGCTGTGATGCCTGGTGAACGTTGACCGTGAATGCAGTATCACCTTGACATACCTCTGTCCTGATTCATGCTTCAATAGAAGTTCGCCCCTCCCCCATGCCCCTGCTTTCCACAGCCCATGCTCCTGAGCACTGGCTTTCTGCTGTGAGGTAGTGTATGTTCATAGTGACTCTAGCGTGGTCTGCGCATCCACAGGTTTCCTTTCTGTAAGCATTGCGTGACTCCCCAAAGGGTGTTATGGAATTGATTGTGGCCTCTCCCTATCTCCAGGGTGTGTCCTACAACACGCAGAGTGTGCCTTGTCACACAGAGCGACCTTAGCGCCCCCCCCAAGTTGGCGCTTTCCCTCTCCTCCGCCGGGCCCTTCGAGTCCATGTCAATGGAAATGGAAGTTCTTTGCCACGTTTCCACATTTGATGACTCACGAACCTACAGAATCTTTGTTGTCTTGTTCCTTACTTTTCTTTTATAATAAACCTGTCATTAAGTTATGAAAAAATAAGGTTGGGTTTTGTTGGTTTTTGTTTTTTTTTTTTTAACCAAATGTGTTTCCGTCATAAAGTTGTTCTGTGGGGAAGATAATTTAACACGATTTCATTTTATTACTAGAGACCCATCCTATTGGCTATATTTATCTTAGCATGAGTTTTTCACACCAGGATCTCTATATTTGTAACTTAGGCAAAATATTTAAAAACAGCAAAAACTGTAAATCTAGATTCTTTTTTTAAAGCCAGTTGCGGGTGTCTTTCCCTTGATTGTCTGAGGTGCCCCATGTACTGACATGTCTTGCTTGGAATGTCCAGAAGAGAACTGCCATGTTAAGGTGATGGAGACGATGACCCGTGTACTGACCTGTCCCGTTTGGAGCGCCTAGGAGAGGATTGCTGTGCGAAGGTGGTGGAGAATGCAGAGGTGCAGGCAGAGTCTTGGCACCTGGGGCTCACTTTGACCCGTTCCCTACTGTCGGCATTCCTCACAACTGTACAGATTCGTTCGTTGTGGCTTCTATGCTTCTTGTTACTGTCAAAAATAATCTGGAAATGGTTTTATTTTGTGAAGTGAGCAATACTTTGTAATTTACGACCGTGTAAACAGAAGGAAAAGCATTCTGCATATTAAATGTTCTGTCCATCATTTTGGAGTGCTATCTTGACAGGGGAGTCTGTCTCACCAAACTACAGGTTAAAGGAGGAGCCCCTCAAAGAATCCTCACCTCCTCTGAGCCACCCCGAAGGGTTTACAGTTCATCTGGGTGACCCCAAAGCAACCTGTTACTCCGTGCACTTTCTCCTGGGCAGCCTGCCGGGAGGGAAAGGCTCTTCACTTTGGAAGGTTCATTGCACCAATGCCCCCTCGCTGTTATGTAGCAGTAAAAGTTTTGAGAAAATGATGCTGGACCTGAACAAAGGACAAGGATTTAGGAGTCAGAAAGCCCGTGTTGATTCTAGACTGACTGGCCTGATACCAGATCTGACTGGCGGAAGCAGGAGGCAGGGTGCAGAAGAGGGAGACTGAGGATGAGTTGGCACCTCTGGAAATGTGGCCATAATGTTCAGATTATGACTTTGTAAAGGACTGTGTGACCCAAAATAACAAGTTATGTATTTTTCTCATAGTTTCTCGTAGAGGCAGTTGTGGAGCGGGGGTGGGTATCATCACATGGGAGTTGGGAAGAAAGAAACAGAAGAATTTGTTTTGGATTAAAGTGAAGTCCCAGCAATATTCAGGGATGTTGGGACATGGCTCATAATTGTGCTGTGAGGATGTTCACTTGACTCTTTCTCAAAGGGATCCTAGCACCTGATCCCTACACCCGGACTTTAATCTATAGCCTGCTCACCACACCTGTCACCCAAACCACCTGGCAGCTTGGTCCAGCTCCACCTACTGGCTCCACATTCCTTCCAAGGGGATAATACCACCTACAAAGAAGAAGCAGTTTTGAAGATTTCCACAAATGATTCGTGGGAGGTGGGATGGGCAGGGTGAGTGGGAGAAGACAGCAGTGAGGTGGGAGGGGCCGCTGTCCCCTCTCACCCCACCCCCATCACTGTGAATGGATTTTGAGAGTCCTGGTCTTGACTGTGGGTTGGGTCTGGTGCGAAAGTTAAGGATGGTGGCTGAGGACAGCCAAGGAAAGGAACATGAGGCTGCATTTGGAGGTGGGGAGAGAGTCATGAAGAAAGGCTGTCTGGGCTGTCCTGACTCCACTGAAAACCAATGTGAGTGGTTTTTCTAATCCAACCTCTATCAAAATCTAATTTATAGATGTTCTTTAGTTTTTAAAATGTAACATGCATTAGCTTCCACCAAACTTGTGTCAAGCGTCCCTTACTGTGAAAACCTAGAGGCAAGGAAAAGGCTTCTCTCATGGAAAGAATTAAATGATTTTAGTGTGGCTGGAAGAGAAACCTGGCCATGCTGAGGATTTCAGTCTCTAAGGGGTGCAGGAGTCAGTAATGTTTCCATAGAAACATTTAAGTTGTCTGTCTTATATTTACAGAACAGTGGTCAAGATACTAGAGAGTTTTTACATAGCTGTGAGCCAGTTTCCCATAAGGCCACTGTCCTGTGAAACCAGGGCACCCTCAGCAAAACCAAGAAACCAACACTAACATACTCTAGTCACTGAACCTCAGACTGGCAACGTCCACGGATGTTTCCATTCGTTTCTCTTCTGTTATATCCCAGCATATGATACATGTTCTTAGGAATCTATGAGATGGTTCCACACATAAAGGTTCCTGCCATACATCTGGCAACTCAGGTTCCAGACTCAGAATGAATCCATGCCACTGATTCAGCAAAGTTGTCCTCTCTCATACACACACATACTATGGCACACTTAAATCACACTCTTACACCACACAAACACACACACACACAATTACAATGAACAAAATAAATAAAGAGGACTTGAGACTACTGGGGTGGCAAAATGAGTCCAAGTACTTGCTACAAATGCTTGATAATCTGTGTTTGGTCTCCAACTCCTGGTGGAAAAAGAGAAGCAATTTCCTGAAGTTGACCTCTGACCTACACACAAATGCCGTGGCACACAGGTGCCCCTACTCATACACACGTGGTGCACAATAAGGATGAGTCAGAAAGGAAATGTGGATTACTTGACTGCGGTCCCTCAGAGAATGTGGGAACATGCAGGGAACAACAACTGGCATCAGTCGTTGCCCATAGCAACAAGACTGAGATGCTGGTAGCCAGGACCAGGTAGAGGTAAACATGATTGGGTTGCAGTTAGGAAGTGAAGTTGAGAAATTTGACTGTAGATTAGCTTGAAGAATCTGATCGAATGGTCAGTTGCTCCTTCGGCAACCACGCAGTGTTTGCTAAAACAAAAGGCACATACAAGAACTGGGTGTCACCGGGGCGGAGGAGGAGACATAGGAAAGGCTGGACCCTGATGGCATGGAACTGCCAGGGCTGTTTCCAAGTAATTGCTGATTCCTGAGCTCCAGATAACCAGTTTTGGAATGACTCAGGGGGCATAATGACAGAGAACTCATAGGGGGCACCCAGAAAAACCAGGAAGACATCCCCAAAATGCTAACCTTCAGGAGAGAAGGAGAGACTGAGGAGAAGGGAAGGTGAGACCCATGGCAATGTAATAGAACCCTGAGGGTTTCCATGAGCTCTTTAGAAAATATCCCATCCCAGGGGCTGGAGGATGGGTCAGTGGGTCAGAGTGCTGCTCCTGCAAAGGACCAGAGTTCAGTTTCCAGTTACTCATGTTTGATGACTCACAACTGCCCATCACTCCAGCTGTCAGAGAGTCAGTGCCCTCCATGAGCACCCATGCACATGCTTACATAGACCCAGAGAGACACATGTATGCACATAAATAAAAATGAAACAAATCTTTTATACACATCATATAGTCTGCTTAGCATCACAATGTCCTTGTACTCACTGTTCTCTTGTATCTGCCAGGCTTAAGACATCTAACATAGTTAGACCCGGTGTTCTGGACAGGTTTGCTTGGTTAGATGCTTTGTAAATACAAACCGCGTGCTGTGGTCTTACTGTTTGTGTTCCCCTCTCCCAAGTTCTTATGCTGAAACCTGTTCCTAGTACCATGGTTCTTGGAGGCCGAGCTTTCCAGGGGTGGTTAGATCATGAAGGCAGGGCCTTGCTACTGGAATTAGTGTCCTCATAAAAGAGAACCCAGAGAGCTCTCCTGTCTTCTCCACTGCGTGATAATGACTGCTTGTGACCCAGGAAGAGTGCGTCATCAGACAAGAAGCCTCCTGGCATTTTGCCCTTGACTTCTCACCGTCCAGAAATGGAAGTGATAGCTGTTGTTTACGAACCACCCAGCCTGTGGCATTTTGTTCTAACAACACTGACTTAGTTAGGATTACTGTTGCTATGATGAGCTGCTATAACCAAAGCAGTTTCAGGGGGCGGGGGTTATTTGGCTTACACTTCCACATCTCTGTTCATCAACAAAAGAATTCAGGACAGGAACCCAAACAAGGCAGGAACCTAGAGGCAGGAGCTGATGGAGAAGCCATGGAAGGGTGCTGCTTACTAACTTGCTCAGCCTGCTTTCTTATAGCACCAAGGACCCATAGCCCAGGGATGGCACCACCCACAAAAGACTGGGCCCTCCCACATCAATCACTAATTAAGAAAATGCCCTACAGGCTGTCTTTGCCTGATCTTGTGAAGGCATTTTCTCAACTGAGGCCCCCTCTGGTGACCCTAGCATCTGTCATATTGACATAAAATTATCCCGCACAAGCATGAGTAGACTAAGGTAGCTAGCAGTATTAAATTGCTTTCCTGATTTGGGTTGAAAATATTTTTATCACACTCCAGATTCCTCTTTGTTGCCTTCCTACTGGTGACTTGTTTTTCTATTACTAAGACAGGATATCTCAAACTATGGTAATTATATATACAGCTGCCTCCCACCAAAATACAAATGCCATGAGAGAAGACTCATGGCTGCCGCTTGCATAAGTAGCACACGGCACATATCCACGTACCCCCCCACACTGTCCCTGACTGAGAGTGCAGGAAGGGTCAGCCATAGTGTGTGAGAGAGCATATGGGTGGTTTGGAACACTGAAGTAGGAGTAGAGAGGAAAGGGGATGAGAGCAAATACTCAGGCCAGCCTGAGAGATGGAAGAGGCCGTGTACCAAGCAAAAGGATGAAAGATCCATCAAGTGGCAAGACGAAACAGAAAATAGAAGCCGGGAGGCTCTGTGCCGGTTGGGATGCTAGTTCAGGTTGTGCAGTCAGGCTCAGCTCACTCACAACATGAGGGACGAGAGGAGATCCAGCTGTGAGCTCTTTGGGAGGCAGTCAGGACCTACTGACCAGGGCAAGTTCAAAGGGCAGGGTCTCATATGGAAACCATGACTTCTGGTTTCCATCACTAAGTAATTTTTTTTTAAATTTATTTATTATGTATACAGTATTCTGTCTGCATGTATGCCTGAAGGCCAGAAGAGGGCACCAGACCTCATTTCAG